GTGAGGGTTGCACAGCTTTGTGAATATACTAAAAACCACTGAATTGTATACTTTTAAATGGTGAATTTTATGTTATGTGAATTATTAGCTTAATTAAAAAAAATATCTGGCAGCTCAACCTAAAGTGATTTGACTATTCTACCTTAAATTTCAGAAAAAAGAGTATATTTTCAGGAGATACCATTACGAATAGGAGAATGTGTTGTCTTAATTTGTATTGTATATCAACTTTATTGATGAACTTGCCAATCTTCTAAGAATATAAAACATTTTACAAACTTCTCAATAAATGTACTCTTTAGGTGGTTTAAAAATTAACTGTACATGATAACATAGACGAGTCTCTAAATAAGTACAATGATGGAAATAAGCCAAACATGAATGAGTATATACTATATTATTCCATTTATATGAAAATCTAGAAAATGCAAGCAAATCAATAGTGACAGAAAGCAGAACAGTGATTGCCTAGTGATGGGACAGGAGTGGGAAGGGTTGGGAGGAAAGATTGTAACACGACATGAAGAATATTTTTGGGGTGATGGACATGTTCATTATCTTAATTGTGGTGATAGTTCCAGGTTTGCATACATATGCTAAAACTTTTTAAATGTGTGCAGTTTATTTGTATGTCAGTTATGCCCCAATAAAGCTGTGTTTTTAATTGAGATATAATTGACAGGTAACATTGTGTAAGTTTAAGATGTACAGCATGTTGATCTGATACATTTATATATTGCAATATGACTATGACAAAATAGTGTTAGCTAACACCTCTATCACACCACATAATTATTATTTCTTTTTTGTGGTGACAACAATTAAGATGTAGTCTCCTAGCAACTTGCAAGTTTATAATACTGATAACAGTGGAAAGGAAATCCAAAAGCGTTTGACAAAGTGTCTAAGCCAATAATTTACTTGTTTGGAGACAGATAAGTGAAATTAAATGGTATTTTATACCCTAAGTATCTTCTAAACTTACTCAGTATCTCCCAAATTAATTTTTATTATCCATCTATCTGTAGTTTAGCCAATTTGTACCCTGTTAAGAAATGTTCCTTTAAGTGAGGGTTCCTTAAGTGAGCCCTGCACATCACCAGGGCTTTAAATGACAGAGAATGAGGAAGAAAAGTGAGGGCTTATATTCTGAGGCTTTAGCCACTGGGAAGAATCTTCAGCCCTTTGCGTGCTCATGGTGGAAGGAAGGTACCTGTAGTTTTGTCAGAAGAGCCAAGTACGAAGATCTGAAAGAGGAAGTTTGACCAGGTAAGTTACAAGTGCCAAAGGCATTACATACATTATAGCAATTATTCCACAGCCTTTTGAGTTGCTGAGACCTTGTCATCACCATCACTCTCACCAGAACATCAGGACCACTGCTCTTTAATTCACTACTTGCATCTATTGACACTCATCACGATGTGATTGGTAGCTACATCTAGAGGGAGAAGGTTTGGTTTGGAACATGCAGTAGTGAATAGAAGAGAGTAAAAAGGGGTGGTAAGTCCTTTGCTCTTTATCTCATCCTTTTGATTGGCTTTGAGCCTAGAGACAGAAGACTGGTAATCAGCAGTTGATGGAACCATTCACAAGTTGCTCAGTGAGACTCGGCACATGAGCAGAGTTGCTTTGGGCCCTAAGTAGCAAGGACATCCCAGAGATGATGAGGAGAGAACTCATTTCCTCATGTCTATGTAAACTCCACCACTGCCCTAGCAGCCTGAGGATTAGTGGGTCTAACAGCATCCAGGAAAATTCCCTTTGGGCTAAGCAAGGGTGCTCATTGATGGGCATTTCCATCAAAATCATTGGTGAAAAATTTGGTGTATTACCGGGAGAAATAACTTAGTGGATTCGAGTGGTGATGGCAGCTGAATTTTGGTTGAAGTGTACATATGGGGAAGCCAACTAAGTACTCCTCAAAATAATAAAGACTCTTTGAGGGAGGCCTTAGGATCCTGCTATTAATGAGACAAGGCCTTGAGCCACTGTTATTTAGACACTAAAAGTTGACATGATCTATTTCTCAAAGCCTGGAGTCTCCTAGATGTATAGGTTACATCTCCTCCAGGGAGACTGTAGGGCCAATAGGGCAGGATTGTGCCTTTTTCTTCTTTGTATCTTCCTTTCACTATGTCTGGGGCAAAGTAGGCTTTCTCTGGATTTTTGCTCAATGCCACAGAACAGAAAAGAAGAATAGAATAGAAGGAAAAAAGATTCTTCAAATATAGCCATCCCATTCATGATTAAAGAGAATAATACAGATGCATAAATAGAATCACGGGACATGAGGTGAGAGGGAGAGCTTATAGTTTTCCTAATGGTTGTTCTTTGAATTACTTATATCAAAAATTCAAGTACAATAGGAAGTAAGGAGAAAAGTGAATTATAAACCACAAAATAAGGTTCCCTCAAGGTGCTTGAAACCATTGCTTGGCTGAGGTGGAGGAGGAAAAAAGGAAACTGAGTCAAATCATTTCTTGTCTCTAATTTCTTCCCTAGTAATCCTGGTCTCCACTTCCCTGTCACTCAATGTGTGTCCCCAGATATGACATCTGGTCACTACCTCTACTCAGCAGTAGGAGTGGAAAGGTGATACAAGCCAATGAAAGGAAAAAAAAGGAACAAAGGATCAGAAAAAGTACAGAAGGAAATGGTAAAAAATTAATGTTTCAGAAACTAAGGACCAGTAATGAAGACATTCATCTCTCACCTTTCCCTGCATGACACTGAACCCCACACTAACACATATTAATTCAGATTGTATTTATAGTTAAGAAGAAAAGATGTTCCATTCAACTGATGTCCAAGATCAGTTCTGGAGACAACAGGGTCCACTGGAAATCGCGACCTCACAGGAAGACCTGCTCCACGGAAGGCAGCTGTGAGTTCTAGCTTCCTGAGCTGCTGCAATCAGCACCCTTACTGCTCAGCAGTGTATTTCTGTGCCAGATCCTGATTCACATCAATGCAGAGTCACATCCTCTCAATACATAGACACCCTCCAGACCCTGTCAGGGAAACAGGGCGGGCTGGCTGAGGGGACGTGTTGTTTGATTAGCTAACAAATCAGCCAAAAGTCATTCTGAAGGATGAGGTTGGAGATAGGAGAGGACTGTAGAAATAGCAGGGAACATCCCAGCCCATGCTCAGGAACAAAGACTCTGTCTCCCGAAAAAGGTAAATATTATTAAAAACTGGACATAATTTGTCAGGCTAAATATTTACTGACTAACATGGTTCTCTTTCCTTTATTTCTTGTTTGATTTCAAGTACTCTATTGCATGCTTTAGATATAGAATTTTATTTAATCAGCAAGACAACCAAGTAAATGAAATATTGTCTTCATGTTCAACATGAGAAAACATGGTTCCAGGAGTTCATTTTTCTGTCTCAAAAAAAAAAAAAATGAGAGAGAGATAAAGGATACAAACCCAGATCTGTCTGACTCAAAGGGTTGTGCTTTTTATATCATGCTGTGCTGCCTCTTATTCTTTCTGGAATAATCCATGTTTTTCCCTTGCCTAGTGACTATGTAGGTATGTAGAGATGCCAGGATTAAAAACTCCTGCTACAGTATGTCCCAGAGATGGTGGAAATAGCGTTGGACAAATTTGTCTGGAATTTAAGCAATAAGTCTGGCCACAAAATGCTATTCATTAGAGATACACCACCTCAACCTTTTGTTATCTCAGTGAATATTTATTTTACTGTCATCACGCAAGAGATGCTGGGCACCTACAGAAAAGTGTTTATTATCATTTGCTTTGATGAAACAACTTCAAAAATCAAAAGTCAGATGAATGCAAAGTCACTTCAAATACATACAAGGAAGTCCTCTCACCAGGATGGAGTATAAACCACATCACTCCACTGTGTTTCCTGTCTTTTGATTATTGAAATTATTTCACCTGCCCCGCCCCTCCCCTCCATGCCCTGGAGGAGGAAGGGGGGCAGGAAAACTACTAGGGGGACCAAGGAGGGGCAGTGGCTGGGCCTGAGGGGAAGATGGAGAGACCACTGGAAAAAGACACCCCCCAATCAGACCTAAAGTAGGAGGTTTCAGGGTGCACTCACTCCCTTTAAACCTCTAGGCACCTGATTGAAAGGGATCACTTTCCAAATGTATAGCTTCTGAAAGAGAAAAAAAGGGAAAAAGGAGAGAAGAAGAGTCCTCTGGCAATTGGGTAGTGGAGGAGAAAAGAAGAAAAAGGGGAAAACTTAGAGTCCTGCAAAACAAAAGAGAATCACAAAATAAGAGGATTCGCAACCACCCCATCGTGAAAACAACAAAATTTCTAAGGTATCTACACGTTGCTGTAATGACGGAGAGGGACACCACTAAGGTGGGTATATTGTAAAATACTTCAACAGCATGAATGAACAAGAGGAAAGCAAAATCCATATAGTAGAGAAAAATCCCCCACTTCTCACCATCTCCCACCAAAATCAATCATGAGTCAGAAGAAAATGCAAGTCTACACCCCAGACAGAATTAAATAAACTCAAGCAAGCAGCTGAAGATAGGGTAACCCATCTATAACCAGAAGTTCCAACATTAACAACAGAAATGGCAAACATAAGGAGGAGAAAAAAAAGTTTATTGAACTCGAGAAAGAAAGAAAAGAGACAAAACTATCAAAGAAATGAAGAATAAATTAAAAGATACCCAAGGAAGAATAAAGTCAATTGGAAATTCAGTAAGTGCATTGAAGAAAGGCAAGGAGACATCTAAGGGAATGAAAATGACAGAGAGAAGTAAAACCATTCAGAGAGAAGGTGCTGGAATGAAAGCAGGTCCTGGACCTGAATGCAGAGGAGGACCTAGAGCAACTGGGCTCCTGGTAGCAGATCTGAGTGGTGCCTTTCCATCGCTGCCACAGACACCTCTGCACAGACCCCAAGCGTCACTCTTTCCTCAGAGAGTGGATGGGATTACAAACGAATCTACCTTCTGTGTGACCAGAGTGTCTGCAGTGCTCCCATAGCAATCAGACATGAGCATCACTAGGAAGGTGAAACCCAGCGGGGCAATCAGAGGAGACTCTGGCCTGGAGATGCGATGGTGCCAGCCCACTCAGGCCAGACTGAATGCAGAGTTTCTGGAGGGAGGCACAAGGGGGGAGCAAGTGATTCAGATCTCTGCTTTCAGTCTCCTTATCCACAAAATTAGGGAGCCGTCTCAAATATCTCCGGGATCCCTTCCAACTATCCAGTCTAGCCTTTTGAAAAATTCCACATATTAAAGCAGGGGGATCCCCTAAATTTCTTTCCTCATTTGTCTTCCAGCAAGTGCTTGGAGCTACGAGGAGACCCCCTGCCCACTGTGAGCAACCAGGTGCTCTGCTGGATGTCCCTTTGTCTCCTGGGAGCAGGTGAGTCCTGGATTCAGGGAGCAAATTCCTGTTCCAAAGGTGCCAAGCTCCAAATCTAAGACTTTCCTCCATGATAGCAGCATTAGGCACCATCTGGGGCTGTGTTTCCAGAGCGTTTCTCTCTTCTACAGGCTCCATGGATGGTGGAATCACCCAGAGCCCAAAATACGTGTCCAAAGAGGAAGGACAAGTTGTGATCCTGGATTGTGAAAAGAATTTTAATTCTGACTCTACATACTGGTACCGACAGGATCCAGGGCAGGGGCTGAGACTGATCTACTACTCAAAGGTTGTAAATAATACTGAGAAAGGAGACATATCTGAAGGCTACAGTGCCTCTCGGGAGGAGAAGGCATTCTTTCCTCTCACTGCGACATCAACCCAAAAGAATCAGATAGCCCTGTATCTCTGTGCCAGTAGTAGAGACACAGTGAAGCACAGCCACCTCCTCTCCGTGCATAAACGTGTCCCAAGACCTGCTTCCCCCCAGGTGTCAGCATTTTTCTGGATTCAGTACCTTATCTGCCTGTTTTCTACCACCTCAACCAGGCCCCCAAGCAGCTTCTGCCATCAACACGCTTTGTGGAATGACACGGCACTTCAGCGACCCACTAAGTTGGTTTTAAACATGACATATATGCATATGTCTATATTTCTATCTGTCCATCTGACTATGTCATGGAGAAAGAGAGAGAGGGAGAGAAGAAGAAGGAGAAGAAGGAGGAAGAAGAAGAGGAGGAAGAGGAGGGGAGGAAGGAGAGTGGAAAAGCAGAAGAGAGGTTAATTTTACAACGCAATTCTTTTTTCTATTTTATCAAACACTGGAAAATAAAAATGAACAGAAAATGGTTCCTTTCCTCTGAAAAATAATAAAAGTCTAGTGAGGAGAGAAATGTGTAGAAGACAAACACTGTAATCTAATATCACACATGTGTGCTTTAATCATAGGTGTTAGTGGAGCATAAGAAGTAACGCAGCCAATTCTGTCTGGTGACATCAGGAAGGGCTTCAAAGAGAAGGCAAAATGGGTGATGAAACTCGAACGATGAGTAGGATTTCACCAGATGCACAAGAACCACCTGAGTGATACAGGCGTAGGGAGCTATGTCAGGAGAGAGTGATGAGATAATATCAGGAATAAAGGTGATCAACCCCCCTGGAATATGGCAATAAGAGAAAAGTTGGAAAAATGAGTGGAGAGAAGTTATTGAACAAATTGAGTTTCTGGTTCTAGTGGACGTTCCTTGGACATCTGCATAGAAATACCTAGTTGGCTCCTGTAAATGCCCTTGGCACTTAGAGTGGAGAGTCTGGCTTGACAGAAATATTTGCATGACTAATCAGCAGACAGGCTGTCCGTATTATTTTGCGAATGGAGTTTATGTTTTCTGTATATTTTCTCCCTTTGTGGTCAGCCATCTATCTATGGAATTAGAAGGCAAGTAGTCTTCATTCTTGGGACTGCATTTATTTACAAGGTTTTATTTGACCACATAAGTCATAGAAATGAATCACAGTCTATATTATTCAGACTAACACTCACACTGTATCCAACTAAAAATGCTGGATGAATATATTTTTAAATATTCTTAGAAGCATTTGAGAACCCCAGTCTGTTCTCCTGTATGGATCTATGACTTCTGGGGCAAGCAAGTTCTGGAAAATGTGGGGACACCCTCCCTGACCATCACACACAAACGTTGGCTTTGCATTTTATTTGGATTTCTTCCTGAATTCTGTGTTTAGCTTTGTCTGTTTTCTCCCATATATTCTGTGGAAGCCTGACTCATCCAGTGACCAATATACTGAGACACAGAGATGGGAAAGAGACAGTAACCTCTGAATAGCATTTAAAATACTTACATGCATTATTATGAGCATTGCAACAGTGATTGCAACTAATGCTCTCTGATAACAGTAAGGAAACCATTGAGAATGGGATGGATCTAAGATGCTTCACTTGGACTGTCCAGACCACATTCACAGATAGCTCAGATCAGTCATTTCCTGAGCCAGATGATGCAGTCATGGACATTTGCGGCAGTGGACACAGTCCCTAGAGTTCCCTGCTCCCTGTGTGCAAGCCACATTCCAGAGGCGATGGGATGCGAGATGCTCTCTTTCCAATGAGAGAAAGGAAATTAAAGGGACAACAGGAAGAGACAGACAGTCTTGTGCTTCTCTGTTATCTTGGGCATAGCTAGAGGCGATACAGATTTCCTCCTGTTCATTGAGGGATGTATATAACAAAGCATATGTAGTTCACTTGATTTTAAAACATCCACTCTAAAATATTGAAACATTTAGTTTTTCAGAGTGGTCCTGACACTAAAAAGCTGTGAAGTTTCACAATAGCTCCCATTCCCATGACCAAACTGTATGGAAAGAAAGTCAAAAAATTAAAATAATTAAAATATCACTAAATGTTTCCTCTAAAAGATTTGAGAAGCCACTGCATCTATTAAGTAGGAAGAACAATTTATAGAGAAAGATAATCAAAGAATGATAATATTTCTTGTGTACAATAAGCATAATTTCTGAATTTAAAAATATATTGGGAGGAATCTGTAGTAAATTAGACAAGTCAGAAAACCAAAATGTTATTTGTATACAAAGTCAAGAAATATTCTGGAATTTTAAGGAAATAGAAAAGCATATGTGAGAAAAGGATACTATCACATCTGCTTTGTTCAGGATGACCTCAAACTGGAAGCACTTAAATGTCCATCAGCAATGCAATGGACACATAAACTGTGTTACATTTATGTAATAGAATAAAATATAGCAAAAAATCAAATATTATTTGCAAAATCATGGATGTATGAATCTCATAAACATAATGTTGAACAAAAGAAGCCAACACAAAAGTACATACTATATGAAGGTAAAACAGTGCCTACTTGGGGGCATTTTTAATTTACTTGGAAGGAAGCATGAAGGAGGCTTCTGGGGTTCTGAAAATGTCCTATGTCTTAATCTGAGTGGTGGTTACATAAATGTATTCTTTTGTGAATATTCACTAAGCTGTACACTTAAGATTTGTGGTATGTATTTTATGTCTCACTTTAAAAGTTTAGAAAAACAACAATAATAACAACCACCCCACAATGCAGTGACTTAAAGTAAAAATGTTTTATCTCTCATGCTTCTCTGGGTTGAATGGGCCCCTCATGTCGTCACAGTCAAATAGTCACCAAGGCTGGAGCTATCTGAAAGCTCACCTGGGCTGGACACCCAAGATGGCTTCTTTATGCCCATATCTGATCCCTCACCTGGGGTGGTGGGAACAGCTGTGGACCAGTCTGGCATGTCTCACTTTCTCCACACAGCCCCTCAATGTGTTAGGTGGGTTTCCTCATGGCATGATGGCCTCAGGGTAGTTAAAATTATTACACAGTGGGTGACTTCTCCAAGAATGAGCATTCAAGAGACCAGGTGGGATATGCAAGGCCACTTAGGACCCATCTTGGAAAATCATACCGTGTTGTTTCAAGCACATACAGGCCAGTCCAGAGTCAAAAGGAAGGGACTGACAGGAATGTGAATACTGGGAGGTGTGGTTCATCTGGGTGCCATCTTTGAAGAATAGCTACCGTAATATGATAAACTGGTACTTCTGATCCTGTTCCTCACTGCCTTGGACCAATGATGACTTCAGAGCATAGTGACAGCTCCTTCACTTGCAAATATTTTTCTTGAGATCAACTCTAAACAAGAGCTTTACCAGGAAGAAAGTTCTGGGAAAGGTATTTCCTCCTTAGTTAAGTTGATACAGCAATGTAAACCACAGGCATATACTTGATGGCTGGTGGTCCTCAAAAGGAGTAGAAAGATTTTCTCCTGATCTGGGGGCTTCCAGTGACTTCATCTCATATATGTCATAATGTTATACCAGAAGTCACACATCGCAAGGTTCACTCACCTCCTCTTTGCAGGAAAAGTATATTTATAGTGGGAGGTGGTCCCAGTCTAATGTGGTGTGTACCACCCTTGAAACAAGTATATTCATAGGAGCATGTCAGATGTCCTTTAATCAATATATCAGTTTTGTGTCTACAGTAATATTTAGTATGCAATAATTACACTTGCAATCATAAAAATCTATGTCACCATAGTATAAACGTAATTTGATGGATCAAGTCCTAATCCCAACTTTTTTAGTTACCCACTCCAGGTAAAAAGAACTAAATATTAAGTGAAGGCACAATGGGTATGTTTTTATAAAAAGGAAAATAAAATGTTTTGGAGGAAAATCTTCAGCCTCTTTGAAATGGCTATGCATTTCCAAGCATGAGCCATTTAAAACAAATATTCCAAGGGCCAGCCCCACGGTGTAGTGGTTGAGTCTGGCACTCCCCACTTCGGCCGCCAAGACTCATGGGTTTGGATCCTGGGCACGGACCTACACCACTCGTCAAGCCATGCTGTGGTGGTGACCCACATACAAAATAGAGGAAGCTTGGAACAGATGTTAGCTTAGGGCTATATTCCTCAAGCAAAAAAAAAAAGGAAGATTGACGACAGATATTAGTTCAGAGCAAATCTTCCTCACCAAAGGAAAAAAAAAAGAAAACTTAAAAAATAAATAAACAAAATAAAACCAAAAAAACTTCACAAATTTTCCAGCATGTTCAAGACAGAAGTAAATCCCTAAATCTAGAAACTATTTCCATTAGCCAATACTTAGCTTATAACCTGTACCATGATGAAATGGCTATAAATAAATTACCCTCACAGCTTCCACAGTGCTTTACACAAAGACATATAAACTATAATACATAGCCATATTTATTATTAAGTTCATCATTATGAGGGGAACTGGCATGAGATAGTTGTGAAATAAATACCTCATTTAGAAGATGAGGAAGTGTCCTTACCATCAATATGAAGAAACATTGAACTCTTACACTAGGATTTCTTACGCTCACCCATAGCTTTAGTGATTAACAACCATGAGTTTTCTTTGTGTTATGTGCTGGTCTCAGCTTATTGATAAATAATGGTGTGGCTGGACTGGCCCTTGTGGTTCTTATTAGAATTGCGAGATGCCATCAGTAATAACCATCAGGAATCTTTGTGAAAAAACATGTTTATTACTTACAGGTCCTAGGAATTACATGGCACAGCTGTGGATACACAGCGAGGTCACAGTTAGAAAGAGCGTTCAGGGGTTGGGATTCTGCTTTTACTGGGGTCAAAGGTGGAGGCGTAGGGTTTCTTGGGCTCACTCTGTAATGGTAAATTTAAAACATAAGAGCAGAAATTTAAAACTTGGAAAGAGAAAAACAAGTGGCCCAAGTGCTCAGTTATCAAGATAACCAAGATCTTGAAAACAAAGGAGCCTGGGCTGGGGGTGGAGGAGAAGTGGCCTGGGATTCTATCCAGTTGTGTGGCTGGCAATGTGTTTATTAGAGGTAGCCATCATTGAAGTGGATGTCTCTTTGAATTGGATGCCTCAGCAATCAAAGCTTAAGTCAGGTACTTGCATGACAAAAAAGAAAAACCAACAGTCAGGGCTGCACTTCACTTGGTTACTTTAAGGCACGGAAGTAAAGAAGTGACTACAATGCCATTTACTACACAAACATGTACCCCTTTCCATAAGGCTAAGAAACTTTTTTCAGTCATTTCAATGATCTGGGTCTCAGCGTGTCTTCTATAAAATTAGGAGTTGAATTAGAATGTTTTTGAGGCCCCTTTCAGCAATGTGTGTATGGTTCTTTGATAATCAGAAAGGGCAATAGAACCGGCATCATTGGAAAAGGTCACCACCAGGGGGCAGATTAGAGCATCCGCAGGATTATGTAAGCCATCATTCATCCTTTTAGGGGTGGAGAAAGGAAGAACAGAGCATAGTCATAACTTTCTTGAAAGAGGGGTGGTGTGAGGCCAAGCACTGAAGATGCTGATGCTTCTGCTGCTTCTGGGGCCCAGTATGTGCTTTATCATATAGTAGCTTGGGCCAGTGTTCGTGTGTGCTGGCATGTGTGAAGTGGTAGCCAGAGATTGGGATATTTTATGCTGATCAAAATAAGAGGGGACATCCATGCCCTCTGAGGGTGTAAAGGGTAAGGTGAGAAGTCATCAGGCAGGGGAGATGGGGATTATGATCCAGGGAGTCTGACAGGGAGATTTCACAAAACAAACAGGATTCTCTGGGAGCTGGGAGAAAGGTGAGAGAGGGAGACTCTGAGTTCCCTGCCTTTGGTCATGTCTGACTGGTCTTGCTGGCCTGTTTCATCTCTTTGACCTCTGTTTCAGCAGGCTCTGGGCTTGGTGCTCTCGTCTCTCAACATCCAAGCAGGGCTCTCTGTAAGAATGGAACCTCCGTGGAGATCAAGTGCCGTGCAATAGACTTTCAGGCCGGAAGTATGTTTTGGTATCGTCAGTTGCCGAAACAAGGCCTCACACTGATTGCAACTTCTAATGAGGGCGCCAGCCCCACACATGAACAAGGTTTTAGCGAGGACAAATTTCCCATCAGCCATCCCAACCGATCATTTTCAACTCTGACGGTGACGGGTGCTCATCCTGCAGACAGCGGCCTGTACTTCTGCAGTGCTAGTGACACAGCGCTGGGCAGAGATCAGAGACCCAAACAAGAACGTTTGCAACAGCCCCCTCTTCCCCACCCCGCCAAACTCACGGAGCCCTGTGGAAGGAGGTGTGGAGAGGGGAAAACCACAGCTTCTCTGATTGAGACATCTGTGAGTGTGTATGTGTATGTAAAGAGAGAGAGATAGAGAGAGTGAGAGAGACAGAATATCTGAGTGTGGAGTGTGGAGAAGGTGTAGTGTTTGAGAACCAGAATAATGGAATGGAGCTGGGTCTAAAGAGGCCAAATGACTTAGAAGTTCCCTGGGATGAAAATTATAAACTTGGACTTTTTTCCAGAATCTTCCATATGTTAATCATAAGTTCTTAGATAAACATGCACATAATCCTATAGGTAGATCTCAAAATGCTGCTATAAAACACTGTGTGTTCTCTGTAATAGACTTTGGCATTTGGATCTCCAAGACCATTCAGCCGTGTCTTATCTCCATCCTAGATCATCACAATAACGAGAATCATAAGGCAGCCAAGAAGAAATGTTCACTCATGAAAGAATTCGATGATGTGCTATATAAGTGTTTTTATTGATGAATGGACAGGGTAAAGCAGAGTACAAAGGAAGGCGTGCACCCTCCATACCTAGGTACAAAGCATAGCAAACCTTCATAGAGAATGTGTTGGTTGAGCTGGATCTCAAGAGAGATGTCAGAGGGAAGAGAAGGTAGATGGATCATACAAGAAAGACTTCAAACAATATGACTTGTCAACAGAACTAGTAAGTTCTCTCAGAAGCCAGAAGATAATAAGTGGAGCAGTGAGTGTAAGCCCTTCAGAAAAACCCCTTCATAATAAAATTAAAAATTACCTTCACCATGAATCTTATATGACCCAATAAAAAATAAGGAAAAGATTTTAACATACATTTAATAGAAGAAACGTCTATGACTGATAAACATATAAAGAGATATTTAACTTTTCTGGTCATCAGGAAAAAGTGGAGCAAGACATAATGATATGTAAGTTTATATCCATTTGATTAGCAACATAAAAAGCTTGGAAATGTAAACTGTTAGAGAGGGTATGGACCACAGGATTGCTGGTGGGAACTTAAGGGATACAAACAATTTGGAATCAGTTTGACAATATCTCATGTAGTGGATCAATCCTGTATTCCATGACTGAGCAATTCCACTCCTAGGTTTACATCAGGAGAAACTCTTGCATATGCACATCAGAAGACGTGAACACAAAAGTGTTCTAAGCAGCACTATTCACAGTAACAAGTCATGGCACCAAGCTTCATATGCATTCACAAGAGAATGAAAGAATAAACAGTGGTATATTCAAATGATAGAACACTATATATACATCAATCAAAATGAATGAACTCCAGTGATAAGCAATGTTGTTTGTGAATCCTGGCAATATAATATCAAACACAAAAACTAATGCTGATAAGATTATGTAAAGCATGATGCACTTTTTATAAAGCTGAACACAGGAAAATCAAAGAAATAATTTTCATTACTAGAAAAACATTAGACAAAATTATATTAAAAAGAAAGCAAGAAACAGTTGTTTGCTGGGACCAGCTTTTACCAGCCTGTGACAGCTGATTTTACACTTATTTCTGAACTCCAATTTCAAAGGCATCATGTTGGTAGCTTGAAATCAGCAATAGTGGAAATATTTACACAATGTTTAACAGCAGACACAGCAAATAAGGACTAGTTTTATTTATAATCAGAGAGCTGGTTGTCAAACATTTACCAGCACACACTGATTAGGAATGATGATGAGTCAAGTTCATGATGAAGTTTAATATGGGACTTGGATGGGGGTGGTAGGAGATGGAATGGAACAGAAGCACATAGCTAAATTTATATATTTAGTACTATTTAATGAGGAAAAGAGATGTTTTACAAGTACCTACCATATTTTGAAATGAATAAATACTGTGCACCAACAAACAATGCCTGTGTGTGATGAACCAAGGGTCAAGATAAATCAAATCTCATGCATATGAGATCAAAAAAGAGAAAAAATAATACAAGAACAGAAGGGATTAGAGTCTGAGAAAGAGGAGAATGAAGAGCTTTGTGTAGGGAGGATCAAGGAGTGAGGACTTAGACACCAAGTGTGAAAATGAAGGTGTGGAAACAAGACCTTGACCCCGACCAAAGTAGAACTGAACGGAAAAAGATGGGAGCCAATTCAGCAATAAGCATGCTGCGATTTTATATCCACATGATGACCACGTCCATTTTTTTACTGGTGATTAAATACCCCACGTGGGTTCAGTCACCTCAGACTGTGTTCATTGCCACTGACACCAGGGACCCATTTTAATCGTAGCCCCCTACTCTGTCAGTATTTTCAGCCTGGAGAAGAGAGCTAGGAAAACACTAAATTTCCCACCACTTCCTTCATCAATCACAAGGAAAAGATGAGTGCATTTGAGGCTCTGGCATGAAACACAGTGAGAAAATGATCACGTCCCTATCTCAAACAGTCATTGATTTCCCTCCTCTACATTAAGCTTCATAGCATTGCGATATCAGTTTGCATGGATGGATGCTGTGTCCACACTTGCTTTTCGAATCCAGTTGACTGTCAGAGACACATCTAGCTGCCAACATGTCTTCTTTTAGGGGAATATGGCAATAGCACTGAACATGATCTGATCCAAATTTGTGTCCTGTCCTCCATGGACCAGGACTGTCCAAATAAATTTCTACAAAATTTCCTCCAATTATTCATGATATAAATGGACAATTCTTTTTAAGTGTAATATTTTCTTTTTGTGCTCTAAGTCTATAAATCTACTCTCTGGTCTGTGTTGTATTTGAAACCAAGTTAACCTTCGATGGTGCCTTATTCTTCTTTGTGTCATCCTTTCACTATGCCTGGAACAAAGTAGGCTTTCTCACAATTTTTGTTCAACGCCACAGAGTAGGAGAAAAGGATAGGAGAACGTAAGAAAGGAAGATCCCTCAAACATAGGTATCTTAGCTATGATTAAAGAGAATAATAGAAATAAGTAGAATCAAGCTCATGAGTTGAGAGGGAAAATTTATAGTTTTCTAATGGTTGTTCTTCAATTACTGATATCAAAAATTAAAGTAGAATAACAAAAGATGCAAAAAGTGAATTACAAACTGTAAAGTAATGTTCCCTCAAAATGCTTGAAACCATTGTTTAGCTGAGGTGAAGGAGGAAAGAAGGAAACTGAGTCAAATCTTTTCCTGTCTCTAATTTTTTCCCCAGCAATCCTGGTCTCCCCTTCCCTGTGACTCAATACGTGTCCTCAGATATCACATCTGGTCATTGCCTCTACTCAGCAACAGAAAAAGGAAAGATGGTATGAGCCAATGAAAAGAAAATAAAGGAACAAAAGGTAATAAAAAGTGGAGAAGGAAATGGTGAAAATTTATCTTTCAGAAACTAAGGACCAATAATGAAGACATTCATCTCTCAACTTTCCCCGCACAACACTATCCTCCACATTAACACATATTAAGCCATAATGTCTGTATAGTTAAGAAAAAAAGATGTCCCATTCAACTGATGTACAAGATCAGTTCTAGAGACAACAGGTTCCACTGGAAATGGTGACCTCACAGGAAGACCCACCTCATGGGAGGCAGCGGCGAGGTCTGGCTCCCTGAACTGGTGCAGCAAGCACCCTTCCTGGGCTCTGCCTGTGGGCTCTCCTTCAAGCCCAACTCTGCCATGGGCCCCAGACTCCTCTGCCTGGGCAGTTCCCACTTGTGGTCTCTCATCTTGTCAGAGTCAGAGTCACCGAGGCTGGAGATATCAGAAGGCTAACCTGGCCCAGACATCCAACACGACTTCTTTACACAGATAACTGACCCCTCACCTGGGATGGCGGGAACAGCTGTGGACCAGCCTGGCATGTCTCACTTTCTCCACACAACCCCTCATTGTGTTAGGTGGGTTTCCTCATGGCATGGTAGCCTCAGGGTAGTTAAAATTATTACACAGTGGGTGACTTCTCCAAGAATGAGCATTCAAGAGACCAGGTGGGATATACAAGGCCACTTAAGACCCATCTTGGAAAATCATACCATGTTGTTTCAAGCACATACAGGCCAGTCCAGAGTCAAAAGGAAGGGACTGACAGGAATGTGAATACTGGGAGGTGTGGTTCATCTGGGTGCCATCTTTGAAGAATAGCTACCATAATATGATAAACTGGTACTTCTGATCCTGTTCCTCACTGCCTTGGACCAATGATGACTTCAGAGCATAGTGACAGCTCCTTCACTTGCAAATATTTTTCTTGAGATCAACTCTAAACAAGAGCTTTACCAGGAAGAAAGTTCTGGGAAAGGTATTTCCTCCTTAGTTAAGTTGATACAGCAATATAAACCACAGGTATATACCTGATGGCTGGTGGTCCTCAAAAGGAGTAGAAAGATTTTCTCCTGATCTTGGGGCTTCCAGCCACTTCATCTCATGTATGTCATAATGTCATACTAGAAATAATGCATTGCAAGGTACATTCACGTACTCTTTGCAGGAAAAATTCAGCTATAGTGTGACGTGGTCCTGGTCTAATGTGGTGTGTACCAACCATGAAAGAAGTATACCCATAGGAGCATGTCAGATGCCTTTTAATCCATATATCAGTCATATGTATGCAGTAATATTTAGTATGCAATAGATACACTTGCTATGATAAAAATCTATGTCACTACAGTACAAACATAATTTAATGGATCAAGTTCTAATCCCACCTTTCTTAGTTGCCCACTCCAGATAAAAAGAACTAAATATTAAATGAAAGCACAACTGGGAGGTTGTTATAAATGCAAATACAATGCTTTGGAGAAAAATCTTCAGCCTCTTTGAAATTGCTATACGTTTCCAGGCATGAGCCATTTAAAACAAATATTCCAGCATGTTCAAAGCAGAAGTAAATTCCTAAATCTCCTAGAACCTATTTCCATTGGCCAATACTTAACTTATGACGCGTATCATGGTGAAATAGCTATAAAGTACTCTCACAGCCTCCACAGTGCTGTATACAAAGACATACAGACTATAATAAATAGCCATGTTTAGTATTAACTCCATCAATATGAGGGGAACTGGCATGAGATAGTTGTGAAATAGTTCATTTAAGATGAGGAAGTGTCTTTATCATCCATATAAAGAAACATTGAACTTCTAGCCTAGGATTTCTTATGCTCACAGTGATTAACGAACCTGAGTTATCTTGGTGTTGTGTGTAGTCTCAGCCTATCTATAACCAATGTTGTGGCTGGACTGGCCCTTGTGGTACTTATGATTGCAAGATGCCCTCCGCAAAATCCAACAGGAAACTTTGAAGAAAACGGTTTTATTACTCACAGGTCCTGAAAATTATATGGCACACCTGGGGCCGCAAAGGGAGATCGAAGGTAGAGAGAGAGGGAAGGCACAGGCCTGGGGTTCTGTTTTTATTCGTGCTGAGACTGGAGAGTCTAGGGT